ACAGGTCTCGGCCATGCCCGAACAAAGCTTGCCAATCCAGCAGGCTGAGAAACCATGGCTTGAGTGCGGAAGGTCTCTTGACCCAACTGTGTTTTGCAGTTGGGGTTCTCAGCCTAAAAGGAGGAGTCCCAATTAGATCTTACTTCATTCACATCGGCGGAGAAACTCTTTGGACGGCCAAGTTGGAGATACTAAAGGGCAGGACGTGCCCGGCAAGCGGTTACGCTCCAAAAAAGAGAACCCACCAAGGCAAGCCCCGGCACCGGATGCCATCGCAAAGCCATTTGTCGTCTCACCTGTCACCGTGTAAAGGCCGGAACCCTGTCGTGTGGCCCTCTGTACCTTTACACCATGTCTCACAGACACTCATCATGGTCTACACCAAACATGCAAAGTTCGGCATGCTTGTCGGAGTGGGCCTTCTGCACTTCCGTCGGCATCGGTTGCCCTGAGAGGCCCAGCAGCATGCAGGCCTTTTCGCTCAAGCAACTCACAGCTACGCACCCCCAATCTCCATCATCACGGCCCCACCCACATTTTGAAAGCTTGCTTTCGCCTGCAGCAAGAATGACACCTAGAGCTACCCGGGTCACCAGAAGACGTTTATTTCTCCACCCACGGCCTTTGGCACATGTTGAAGATTTCACCAATACAGCTTTTAACTCCTGCGGAATTGGAGATGGAGGTTTACACGCAGCAGATACCGTACACTGACCGCGGTAACAGAGCAGGGCCTACGCTGACGCGCCGTGCTTATACTCTGCTTCACCTATTTGTTTTCAGGTTTTCCATTTCAGGGTCTCAGTTTGAGGTGTCTTTCCGCAATTCTCGACAAGGAAACGCCCCAACTCAAGCCCTTTTTCTTGAGTCATAGACCTAAGCTGCAATTGGGGCGTCCAGACCCCAACGTGCCTGCGTCCGGGACATGCCCTCTGCTTTCCATCCTTCTCGGAGTGCGCGGTTCATTGCTTCCTGTGCATTGCTGAGCATATGCTCTTTGATAGCAATCAAAAAAACCACGAAGTGACGGATACACCCAACGTCACTGTAGGAAAGACAGTGGCCCGCGAATGCGTAGCAAACTCGAAGGGTGGGCGATGCGGTAAGTGGGAAAGCCGCCTCCGGGGTGACTTTCGGAGATTTGGGCCATGTACTCCCCGTCGACTGAGTTCTCGCAGACTGGTAGTAGCTGCCAGTGTAGCCAGACTGGGCGGGAACAGATCGAAACCCCGAACAGGAAGCCACGGAGAAGCCTTGGAGACACGTTGAGGTATCTTGTCCGTGTGTGCGTGCACGTGTGTGTCATGAAGCGTGTTGGATACACTTGGCAGCCGTGTAGCCTTTCCTCCTTAGAAGCCTTCGAAGTTCTCGGATGTTATGAGGCAGCAAGGGTTGGGGAAGAGCTTGTCAGCCTGCAGGTTTCGGTTTCAGGGCCAAAGAAAATTCCGGTCCCAAACCTCCGCCAGATCATCTAGAATCTAGCAAAGTTCAAGCCGGTTCGAAGCTGAAGCCTCCTTCGCGCACATCTTCGCAAGATCCCGAAAGCTGCTTCAATGTTTCGCACAAGCCGGAGGGCCGCGGAAGTGTAGGTCCAGCCGCCAGGGCTGTTCCAGGGATCTGAGCCAGGAGCCGAGTAGCCTGGCCAAAGCTCAGGTCTGAGACTGAGCCGGGCGCTTCATTTGGGCGTAGGCCCAAATGAAGCCCACGGCCCGTGGGGCACTCACGACTTCACGCCCATGCTACGAGTAGTGTGTAACATGAGAGCAAGCAGCTGTAGTTCTCAGCTGGGCCCTGCGAGCCGCCTCGGCAAGCGACATGATGCGGCTTCTAAGACCCTGTATGGGTGAAGGCTGCTGCGTTTGGCAGTTGGGCTTCCATCTATTTCAGCCGTAAGCGCGACTCGACTGAAGAACGAAAGCTAAACTCATACCAACTCCTCAAACTCAAGGTAAACTCCTTCCAAATCCAGCCAGGTCGCGCCGGAAGTTCCCATACTGCGTCTCTTCCTCGGCGGGAAGAGTGGACAGGCACTAGCTCCAGTGTCTTCAAATCTTCAAAGCCGTCCAAGCTCAGAGGAGGGAGCTCAACAAAAAGGACAATCCTTTCGGGCTCGGCGCTATAATCGTCAAGTCTTGCTTTCGGTCTTAGCGCCGTGACATGCAACATGGACATCCCCCGTCATGGCTGCGTGCTGATCAGATCCTGAACAGCGCTTGGACTGCATGACCAGGACATCACCAAGCCACGAATACTAACCCGCAGCCCCAAGCGCTGAACGGCAAACCCGTCCCGACGAACCTGACCGCCAAAGTCTGCGACCACCCTGCTGGGTGTACGGCATGGGCATCAGCGAAATAATCGTCGAACTCCGAATCCTGTCCAGATGAGGGATGCGATTTCCATAGTGCCATAGTGCGGAAACAGACAGATATGGATTTTGGAGTTTCGGAGGGCGCCTGAACTATTGCCATTGACAATTAATTATGCCGTTGAAGGATGCCTGGTACGACTACAGCAGTCTATCCTGTTTTTTTAGCACTCACACTCGACAAAGCAGGCGAGGCTACAGACACCGGAAATTCATAGAAGCCCACAGAATGAACTTGTCCCCAGCTCTCGCAACATGAAGGAACCAGCCTCAACGTAACTCCTTGGAGGAGGTTGCGCAAAATGCCTTCTGCAGCTGGATCCCCAATACTTTGCAAGCTCCCCTATATAGATTGCAACAAAGACGCCACGGAACGGTTTGGTTAAGACGGCTGTACACCCGCAAACACCCTCTGGCCCATTGCCCAGGTACTGAAAATTAACCAAGGCACCCATGGGACAGAATCCCAGGGCTCGTCATCCATCGTGAAATCAAAGTAGTCATCCTTGCCGAGCAGGCAGAATCCAAGGGCAGTTGGAACGTTTTCCCTAGTGATGTTTTGTACAGAGCTGTCACCTCAGGAGATGTCGCTGTGGTGTTGATTTCCGAAGTTTGTGGGGTTGATTGGGTGCCCGAGCTTGGAGATGTTGGATTCGGAGGTATGGGGCCGTGGGCTTCAGAATCTTGACTGGCGAGGCTGGGATGCGTGAAGCTTGAAGCCAACTGGAGGTTTGGGGGGTGTTTTTTTAGGACACCCAGGGTGGCACTTTGGGAAACTGCATGTCAACTTCCCTTGAGCTCCTCCGGAGGTACTTTTGGGGCCTGTAAAAACCAGATAGGAACCCCAGAGACACTAGAATTGCAAGAGCAGTCAGTTTTACATGGCAGTCTCACTCTGAAGTTCTGTATGGACAGCCTCATCTTCATCGTCCCAGTCGTCGTACTCCTCGCGGAGGAACCTCAGCAGCCGGATCATCACACGGACGTCGAGTCCAGGAACAGCAAACTAGCTGGTATCCCGTTTCGTTCTTGACCCTTCCATATAAGAGGCTTCTGCCTCTGGCCCCAAGCCGTTTTAGTCCCACCCCGGGGGATTTTGGGCCTTCGCTCTGACTCGGATGCAGCCAGGGCCAAGACTTGTCCACCGGGCTGAGGCCCCAGCCCCCCTTGAGGTTTTTGCACGTAGCACGCCTTCTTCCCCCGCCATACGCCCCCTTCCTCCCCCCGAACCCCCCTAAGCGTGTCAATATTTGTTTGTGCAATTCGCAAATCACGTGGCGCTCAATGGTGCAGCCGTCTTTTTCTGTCATGCCTGATGTATTCGAGGGTACGCTACACTCCTGGAGACACCCCTGGAGCGGACCCTTCAACCCTAAACCTCTTTAAACTTTAAACGCCTGAACCCTAAACCCAAACACAAACAACCAGCCTTCTCTGCCGAATTAGCATCCCTGTAGAGTTTCAGGTGTACAGAACCTCAGGAAATATCAGTAGCTAACGGTTTGGGCTCAGGTCTGTCTCGGTCTTGGTGTTGAGATTAAATTTTGCAGTCTTTGTAGGGATCAGCGTGCTCTGCCGAATTGGCATCCCTCTAGCGTTTCAGGTGTACAGAACCTCAGCAAGTCTCAGTAGTTAACGAGGCCGAGGCCGACACCAAGTGCGTGCGAAGCACGCGCGTGTGTCTAGTACATACATATATATATATATATATGTGTGTGTGTGTGTGTACATATATATATATATATTAGAGAGACACCTCTATGGTATATTTAGCGCCTTGCTTCCTCCAGATATTTCAATATTTCAATTATTTTAATTATTTTGGATAGCGCGAGAACCCAAATAATTAAAATAATTCAAATACCCAGACCGATTTGAATTATTTGAATTATTTGGATTATTTCGGGGCCCCCGAGAATCGAAATAATACAAATAATTCAAATCGGTCGTCCTTAAGCAAGGGAAGCCCGAAGCCCAGGGATTTGAAATAATCCAAATAATCCAAATAATCCAAATAATAGAAATCGGCCGATTTGAATTATTTGAATTATTTGGATTATTTGGGGGCCCCCGAGAATCGAAATAATACAA